ATCGAAAATACGTAACGTCATCTTAAATGCCAACTATTCACATTTTGCCATTTTTGTAGTACCCTTTGATAAGCGTTTCCGGTTGTCAAAGGGAAGTATATCAAATGTTAAAACCAATGTTTGGCCAAGTGTTTTAGTGAATTATTTGCATGAATTGTAAGTAAATGGACAAATACATATATTGACAGTGAGAACAATTACGTATTGATAAAAATGCGTCGCTGCAGCATCAAGGCGTGCGGCAGTAGAAAAAGGAAGAAAAAGGAAATCAACTGAATATTACATTACACCGGCATGTGTCATCTTTTTGCCTATAAATCATACAATAGCCCAAATATCTCATGTAATTAGACTCATCTATGTAGTTTATTCATAAGTCTTGCCGTAAGTTGTTTGTAAGTATATTTTGATGATTGTTAATAACGATTATTTTGAGATAGAGTTGTTCTTGTAAGCAGACATATTATCGATATTCTGTTATTAAAACAATTCACTACGAGGTTTTTATTATTTCATTATTATTATTTTTAAAGTTTACTTACAAATGAAAAAAGAATGAAAGAAAGGTTGGAAATTATAGGACTGCCGAACATAAACATTGGATCAAATACCATCTTCGTTTGTTCGCTCCATTTTGAAGAGTCAAATTTTAATAAAACTTTGAAATTAACTGAATTACATGATAATGCAATTCCATCGTTACATTTATTGGTAAATAACATTATATTTAATTTTGGTTAAAATGGCTCATTACTTGGCTAGCAATAATAGCCTAGTATTAATACTATAATCAAAGTATGATTAATCATACTTTGATTATATACTCATCATTTTAGTGTCATAAATAAGCTACGAATACAAGATCCAGTGCTATGGATAGATGAGCAATTAGATTTGCACAATGTACTAGAATACCCTTGATCTCGCTAGTAGATATTATCAAGAACTAATTTGTGGCGATTGCAGATACCTCACACCTTTTATTACCCCGCAGAGATTGTACCAATTTTAAAAGATGTCGTTTGAATTGACGAATTCCCATGAGTTGTTTCAGCGCACTGTAAACAGAGTTCTCATCAATTTCCGGTATAAATCCACTATCACCTATACAGATATACTGATTATCGGAAAAGGCTCTTGTCAAAGTCATAAAAGGTGGGATATTATTTAAAATGTCATAAAACTTGGGGTTGACCTAGAATATACTAAAATGTATAATTTTCCAAGAGGAATTCCATTCGGGAAAGACCTACATCACAGCCGTTGAATGTTTTCGAATGCCAAATAACGTACCTACACGATTTGATTTGTTGGACTTATCAATTTCGAAGGTTTATTGCAAATGTTACCTTAAAGTACTGCCTATAGCATTGTGAAGCTGAATAGATTAAATCCTTTGCACATTTGAAATCAAACATAGCCCTTTTTCATACGAATGAACCAATTTTGAAAATATGTATGCCACTCCTCCGTGACAATCTCTGAAATAAATTGTTCATACTGTTCGACAGCCTTTTCAGGTGATGAAAATCGTTAACCGCGTAACTGTTTCTTAATTTTTGGAAATAAATAAAAGTCACAAGGTGCCAGGTCGGGACTGTACGCGGGATAACTCATAAGGTCAACGTTGTTCACCTCAAAAGTTTATTTGTCTGTCTGGCCATGTGAGAACCAGCATTATTGTGGTCCAAGATGATACGGCGTTTACGGTTATTTTTATAGAGTTTGTCAATAACTTCCGGCAAACAAATGGTCGTGTACTAATCACTATTCACGGTACAACGATTCTCCAAAGCAACAGCAGCCACGTGTCCAGTTTTATTAAAAAAATAATCAATCATACGCTTTAAAGCACTTTGCACGCGTGCCACTTTGGTTGATTTCGGCTCATCTCGAAAGACCCACACGCTCCATCGCTGCTTTGTTTTAGGATCGTAACTATAAATCCATGTTTCGTCACCTGTTAATATGTCCCACACCAAATTTGACGCCCCTTCGTTGAATCTGGTAAGCATGGCATTGCACCAAGTGACGCGATCCGTTTTTTGAATCAGTCAAATTGTGTGGGATCCACCGAGAGCACAGCTTTTTCACACTCAAATGTTTGTGTCGTATTGATTGTATTTGACTCATGCCTATGCCTAAAGATGTCCGACTCTCTTGGTATGTCACATGCCTGACTGTTTTGATCATACGGTGCACAGCATCGATGTTTTTGTTGTTCACAGCAGTGGACCGGCGACCATCACGAAATTCGTCACTGAAATTCACACGACCGCGTTTGAATTCTGCAAATTAGCTATAAATAGTCGTCTTGCATGGTGCTTCATCGCCAAAAACAGTTTGAAACCGAACGAAGCTCCGCTGAACTGTTACATTACACTTAAAGTCGTAAAAATCATACTACGAAAATGATGTAGACAACCAATTTCTAAAATGACGTCATAATGTAAAAACAAATGACAGTCAGATAAAACAAACTGTATTCTACAGCCAAAAAGTTACATGTTCAAATGTTCTAATTACGTTTCAAACATTGTTTATGTAAGTGGCCAGTTCCGGAAACTTATAGTCCGCCCTATGTATTTACAAGTTTTATTGAAATAGGTTACCAGAAAGTGCACGAAACCGGATTTCATCCCCCAGTTTGCCACTCTTAAAGGTCGAATTTTCTTCAAATTTAAATGGGACCACTACTGAGTTACCCTCTTTCCAACAAAAAAAGAATCATTATGATCGGTTCACAAACGCCAGAGTTATCGCGTAACATACATACTAAAAGTTGGGAGTTCAGTTGTATGTTAGTTACCGATTGTAGTGTCTTACGTGCTATATTTACTAAGCGCAAACTTGTTTCACGAATTGCACAATAGTAAAAAGTTCAATTTTGAAATTCAGCCTTGTGAATCACAATAAAATAAATAAATAAGAAATATCATTTTCAGCATCCGATTAACCAACAGTATTCAAAACATCACAAGAAGATTGGGTGTCAATTTTGCAATTAGAGAGGTATGTCCTCGCATTTAAAAAAATTTAAATAGGAAATAGACTTACGTAAAGAAAAATTTAGTCGAACTAATTATTAAAAGCCAATTATTTTGCATTATTAGTAATGACATGAAGTATGTTGCATTCAAAAATTAAACCATAACGACATAGTCATTTCAGTGTCGAGAAAACTTTTAACGAAGTAGAAAGTAATTCATGGTTGCTCAAAATGGTAACGTTCCTTAAAATGATATCCCTTACATTATACGATATGTATGTACATACATAGTAAAGAATTCAGTAGGAAAAAACGTCTATGCGTGCGTTACGCACTTTAGACAAACCATTTGATACTGTGCAAATAGATCATCTTTGATCGTTTTGTTTGTAAACAGTGCTAAGTGTCCGAATCTTATCTAGTTGTAATAGTAAATGAAATATACGATAACCATACCATCTCTAGAAGATGTTTCCACTACTTTTGGCTACCAATCGGTATTATCGATCGTTCTTCGAGTTTATAGAAAATTCCCAAATTCGTCATGTTCGAAACGCTCTCTCCTTTCCACAAGCGAATGATCAAATTGAAAGGTATAACAGCCTATGCTCGACGCTCTGACTACGTACATAAATAGTACGAGTGAACGATATTGAGACCCAGTTTTAAGCAAATTACTGAGGGAACTTAATAAATAACACGATTAGCAAAGGTATAGATAGAACGCCATCTATGGCCTTGTTTGGAGTATATCTGAATAGCAAAGGAGATACCATATTCGCGAAAAATTTTTAATAAGACATGCCAACCAGTTTCTATGCATGATTGTAGCGAAAAGTACGTGCGTATATTGTAAAAATCAACAAAACGCCAGGTATAATTGCAGCAAAATCAAAATTAATAAGTCCCTAATACGAATTCTAATATTACGCAAAATGAATATAGTAATGTTTGGGGAACTGATCGCGTAAAGTCCTGGACCACAACTTATTGTTGTATTGAGTATTGGCGGGAAAATAAAAAATATTTTCGAGCTCATTCATTCGACGTTTATTGATTCGACATCACACTTTATATTTTTAAAAAACATTTAAAATTTTGAAATTTTCGTTTCTGTTCGGCCACCTTGATATCTTAAACTACTCTTCAGAGCTACAACAACACTACCACCTACGATAAAAGTATCTTAGAGTAGAAGTAACTGCTGTATTTGTAAAGTCACAAGGTCATTGCATGGACAATATTTGTAAATATTCCACTTTCTCTACGTATTATACATAATTTTGGAACTTTTAGTATCTAAAACTGCCACTAGTTCACTATTTACACTAAATAATGTAATTGACTGTAATCATATGATTATATATATATATGAAGGAACCTTTATATATATCGTCTCTAAATACAATAACAAATCAAGGCCTTTCGTATGCTACAGCTATTCGTAGCCAATTGTAATTTGGTTACACAGGATCCACTTCGAAGCCTACGTCACATTCCTCTACGCCTACCAAATCGTATTTCGATGTAATTCGCATTTTCACGTAAAGTAATCTACAGACAGGCATGTTCCATATTGTACGATATTTATATACAAAATACAGTGACTACTTAAAGAAAACTCACTCACAAAATAAAATATAAAGATTACAAAAACATTAACGTTCCAATATTTATAAAATATTTGAAGAAAATTTTCGGCTACGTAATTTTATTCTCTTTGGAAAACTTAATAACAATTTTCGTCTACAGAGTAGTAGCATAAGATTGACTTCCAAAGATTGGCAAACCAACGAATAATAATAATAATTAAGTAAGTACAAGATACTGTTCGCTTTAATTATTGTCATTAATTTCTAAAAGAATCTAGTCTACCGTGCAGTACACTGTGGAACAGAAATAAATATGTCTTTATGCTGTCATTGTGGAGTCACTAAATATCAGTAGCTCGGAGGTGCTATAAGGATATTGAATATAAAGGAAAATAAATGTTAGTGCCGTGATTGGAGCCGGCGAGGCACATTAAGCGGCATGGGGCTGGACGCGTGCCAGGATCACCGATATTGTCTCGCTGCAAGAATACCCAAGCCATTTCTCTTCATTACTACTACTCCAAGTACGCTTTAAAACACAATACACGTTTCATTTGATATGATACGCCCACAAAAAAAAAATAATTTTAATTTATGACTACATAAAATTACCGGCTCACCTATTCGGCTTAGTTAAACGAACACCGAGCCCTATTATTGCGTAAAATCTGCGAGGCTAACTCGACCCACTCATTACATATTCCGTTTTGCCGAGCGAATATTTCGACAACAAACATTATGGTAATAGGGCCGCATAACGATCCATTTTACACCTGTTTACGTAAACACGCTGCCTAAGCGCGGAGACGATTTTCGCTAACTAAAACCTCATTCCGTGAATATAATAATGTACTCGACAGGACGTGATGTGGTAAATGCTTTTGATTCATTTGCATTAAGATTGACTTTATTATATTTGGATGTGACATTTTGTATACACTATACGTAATCTATGTTATATAATTATTATGTATATAAAAGTAAATTCGTTTGCCTAATTGATTATACAGAATATAAACAAAAGTTCACCAAGTCTACCCATCTTGTATAATAGAGAAGTCTAGGTTATTTTATGAAAATTTGTTAGTACCATTCATTATTCGTTTTAAGTTGGTCTTTATATAATATTTGTTTAAAATTTCACAACTTAGAATTCAAATTACCATTACTATTCCTTATTGTCAATGTCATGTTTCAGAAGCTCGATGTGCAATGAGAACCATTCGACTCATTCATTTCATACAAATAAAAATTTTGTCTTTCAAAAAGAAAAATGATTTGCCAGTCTTATTATCCTTTTTTTGAACAAGAAACCCACATCAAATATTCCGCGCTAGGGCAGCGCTACTGCACTAGCGTGGATTATTTTCCAAGGTATCCAAATATAAAATATAAATGTATAAATATCCAAATAAGGTATATATATTATATAAACTATATAGTTTATAAGGTATATATATATTATATAAACTATATAGTTATAATATAGTTTATATAATATATATATAAACTTGGAAATTTCATAGAACCGATACAAAATTTATATTTTTGCCAACGAAGATATCATCATTATCGACCAATTTATACGTCCCTCTGTTGGGCATCGCTTTAAGCGAGGGTTCAGGGCATAACCCGCTACATTGGTCCAATGCGGGTTGGAGACTTCTCACGTTTTCCAAGGGTTGTGAACCTTCTTCGACATGCAGGTTTCATCACGATGTTTTCCTTCACCGAAAATTTAAAATTAAATTCTAACATAAATTCCGAGAAACTCAGAGACGCGAGCCCGAATTCGAACCCACGGTCTCTGTTTCAGAGGCGTGTTTAAACCATTAGGCTACATCGGCTTCTTTAATTTTAATAGTTATCAAATGCATAGAAATAACATATATATAATATTTTTATGCATTAGATAACGATTAAAATTAAACTCAAAGGAACCATTTATTAGTTCTGAACTAATGGAGATCAAAATGAAACGAGACGTCTTGTCTTCCTTTCGTCTTGGTGGAGTCGAGAACACTTAATTGATTGATATAATTGATGTAGCTACATACACATTTCTCTCCAATTATAGTAGTTTTTAACTATTTTTTTTGGTTTATTTATTTTAATTTATGTGAAGAGTGTACAGCTCACACGTAATACATAATAACGCACACACTCAACATAGCCCCACACTAGGAAAACCCTGTATCGCAGATGCCATGGATACACACAAAGACAACCACAAATTACACCCAAACTCACGAGAGACATAAATGTAGGCCATACAAATATTTCTCTCGGCCCGGGAATCGAACCCAGGAGCTCTGGGTGGCAGTCCAGCATGAGAACCGTACCACCTACGGAGGCAATTGACTTTTACAACGTGTATTTAAATCTGATTAATGAAATGCCAAATAAAAGCTTCCACATAATATGAACGTAAGAAAATAACATTACAAAAACACAAACTAACTCGTCCATGAAAACACAACAGTCGATTAATAAGGAGTTAATAAGGAGTTAATAAGGAGTTATTAGTCAAATAGTTTTTATATTCTTAACGCTGTTGCAGAAAATGTTTGTGCTACTGGCGTTATTGAATTGGTTAAATCATGTTAATGATCTTGGTAGACAACTATTAATTGACAATTAGTACAACTAAATGGAATACGGAGCAAATTATACTTACGAAATGTCCTAACTGGAACTTTGAGTATAATATTACTGAGTAGCTGTACAATCAATCATATTCTATTCAATGTACCTACAGCAAAAAAACAGGCATCAGTTATTATTATCCGCGTATATACAGGTAACAGATAAATTTTCCACAACAAGGAATGTACTCCAAATGGGACAATTTAAATTTGTAACTTAAAAGTCTAGTAAATTTCTTCTGTATTTTTTCAATACTGTTGGAGTTAGGTATCGTAGCATGAATTTCCCAATTTGCGATGCATACTCAAGTTGACTACGAACATAAGTGCAATAAAGAATTTTCCGGCCGGAAGCCGGAAGACGTCTACTGCTGAACATAGGCCTTCCGGTTCATGGTCTCCATTCGATAACCTTTATGTATAACTCTCAAATCTGATCCAGAGGTGTTTCTAATAAGATTACATCTTTCTGTTTTCTAGTTAAAGTTAAAAACATTTCGCTTTCGAGAAAGTTAATGTAATACCATTTTGACATATTTAAATCGAGTTTTTAGCTGTCCGTTTGTCTAGAACCTGGTAAAAGAATCGCGTCTGAGGTATTATTAACAACTTTAAAAATTTTGATGTCATCCGTGAATAAAAAATTTGTAATTTAAAAAACACGATCCGATATCTTTTATACACATTACAAATAAAAGGGGACTTAATAATGAACCTCAGAGAATACCAGAAGGATGAATTAACCCACAAAAAAGCATAGAGTACCACCAACTGAGATCTACACAGAAAATAAGATGTCAACCATCTAAACAGATCACCACGTATACCAAGAGTTAATAATTTAGATAGTAGAAGGTCATAACCTTCTTTTATATAGTATATACCATAATCTATACGATCGAATGCCTTGCTATAATTATACACAGTATCAATTTGATTACCCTCGTCCTTATTATAAGTCAAAAACTCATTGAAACACCTAAATTTGAGACCGTGGGGCTACCTCGAAGAAAGCCATGTTGTTGCGGTATAAAACTTGACTTAATAAACTCATAAAGCTTATTGAACACAACTCGTTCCAGGACTTTAGCAAGTATACATAATTTAGAGATAATGATGAAATATACAGCGTACAAAAACAATCTGCTAAACCATTATGACTGAATCGCTACATAGCTTTATGTCAATGTTGACATTAGGCTACGTTAAAATACCCGACATTATAAAACAAAATTCTTAAAAACAAGAATTTCTGATTTTGTATTTCAATTGGTAGTTACTGCATGAAAAAAAATTTAATTTTTTGCCGGGTGCTTAAAGAGCTGCAAGAATGATTTGCAGTACCACGTTGATCGCAACCAAAATATCATTGCGATACATTATAGCGGTATACATAGTGTAATCCAAAAGCAGCACGGGGCTTGGGAAAAACTCTGCTTTAAAATAAAACTATAAAATTCATTAGCATAACTGAAATTAATAGAGCATTATTTTCTTTCTAAAAAAATAAATCGTAAGTACGCTACTTTATCTTTTCTTGGCATTAAGTAAACATACACAAATAATTGGATTTATCTGCAGAGCAACATGATATAGCACGTAAATCTCTTTAGGACTTTCGAGCGAGCCAACTTTTTTACGTATATAATATTATTGAAACCAACGTATTATAAAAAAATCAATATTTTGTTTAATTAAACTATAAAGTTTAAACTCGCTATTAATCACATAAAATGTTAAAGCACAATTCATCACGCAGGTTCCTAAATAGTGCAACGGTAAAAATATGTTGACTTGTTAAGTGAACAAATTACTTTAATAAATAACTAAATAATTGAACTTAAGATATTTAAAAAAAATCGTTCCATATGTATAGTTTTATGAATTTAAGGACTTATTTGTTACTTGTTGTTCAATAATAAAATATATCTATGCAATAGCATACCTCCAAATGAGAATTAATAATGCAACTCAAAATAAATATGATGATGTCCCCAATCGCATATCGATACCGCAGATATATGTATATCTAGATAGACGCCGCAAGTACCGCAATTTGTATGAAAACCAAGCGTGCCACATTTTTTGGACCCAATAAAACGTCACAAGAACTATTTAATGATGGAAACCTCCTTCATGTCGCTCTACATCGATTGATTGAACGGGATACGCATAAAGACGCGTATTTCATTCAATTAGTCGATTCTAAATATAGGTAGAATAATTATTGTTCAAGTATTTGTTGATTGCAAGTATGCATACGCATGAGGCATGCACCGATGATACGGCGTTTACGGTTATTTTTACGGAGTTTATCAATAACTTCCGGCAAACAAATGGTCGTGTACCAATCACTATTCACTGCACAACGATTCTCCAAAGCAACAGTAGCCACGTGTCCAGTTTTATAAAAAAAAAGAAGCAATCATCCACTTAGAGGCACTTTGCACGCGCAACACTTTGGTTGGTTTCGGCCACAGACTTCCGTGGTTTCGGCTCATCACGAAAGACCCATACGCTCGATTGCTGCTTTAATCCATATTTCGTCACTTGTTAATATGTCCCACACCAAATTTGACGCCCCTTCGTTGAATCTGGTAAGCATGGCATTGCATCGAGTGACGCGATCCGTTTTTTGAGCCTCAGTCAAATTGTGTGGGATCCACCGAGAGCACAGCTTTTTCACACCCAAATGTTTGAGTATTATTGATTGTATTTGACTCATGCCTATGCCAAAAGATGCCGAAATCTCATGGTATACCACATATCTGTCTGTTTTGATGATACGGCGCACAGCATCGATGTTTTTGTTGTTCACAGCAGTGGACGGGCGACCATGACCAAATTCGTCACTGAGATTCACACGTCCGCGTTTGAAT